CAGAGATCCGAATCTTTCTAGAAAGCCTCCAAAAATCCAGCGAAGACGGCTGTTTTTTGAAAAGATCTGATGCTTGAAAAGAATGAAAAGGAATCAGTCCCTAGAATAATGGGAATCGAGCAATCCCCCTGTGCAAGTTGAATCGGAACTAACAAGCGACGAGCTCCTTCCCCCAACGCAGATGTGTTCCACGAAGATTGAACTGTGAGGAGGCGTCCCCTTTCTCGGGTAACTTCAACTAATTACGATCAACCTCTCCATCTTTGAAGCTCAACCTCTCACTGTTTGAGGGATTGCTGGGACTACTTGTCGCGATTGATTGAGGCTTTGCCGTGTCAGTCTTGGAGCCCAACGGTTAGCAGACAGTTTCTCAGTCGTTCAGTGGCACCCTCTAGACTCTCGATATGTTTGCCTGGGTCGGCGAAAAATGGTCCTGCACTAAGACAGGACTGACTTTTTCCATGCCGTCCAAAGTGACATCCTCAGCTGATTTTCTACGTGGCTCAAATGGAAACCTTAGGAACCATAAGTGCCCTTTTTAGGTTAGTTTAGTTGAAAATCGATGGGGTTCCATTTACCAGGGAAATCCATCTATTTTTCCAAAAGGCCAGCTATGTTAGGAACACGCCAGTTTTGGAATTTTGAAGCCCTCTAGCCACTTCCGCGAAGCCCTCGGCGCGCCTTTCGGGCACAGGCACCCCAAGTGCAAGCTGGTGGCTGTGTCCTTCACCGGCTTCAACCACGTGGACCTCGAGGCGAATTCGGTAAGATACCGAAGCCCAGAAAACCGACCCCTCACGCCCGGTTTTTTCTTCTTTTTTTTGAGGGGGGGTTCGGTTTCCGCAGTGAAATGAAGTACCAACAGTTGTGCCTTATTTTGTTTCCGCGTGGATATTGGAATACGTTGTGTACCTTTGGTTTTCCCTTTGAAGCGATCCCAAAATGCGTACCTTCCAAAATCAGCAAATCGGACGTGTCCACTGTTTTCGAAAATAGGAAGGATTGCTGTTACAGGGGTTGAGTCTGAAGTGAGCTTGAGCTTGGTCGTCTGGCAAAATTGTAACAAGCTTCCGGGGGGGGGGAATGCAAAACGAGGAAGGTTTACTGTAGGTTTTGAACCATATGAATTTGCCCAGATCTTTGGGGCCAATCGCTTTGGAGGGTTGATCCAGACAGACCCAGAAAGAAGTTGTGTGTTTTCCCCCTTTTTTATGTGGGGATTGAATAAGTTTGATCTGATCTGAAGGCAGGATTCATGAATTGTTCGCCTTTTGTGTTTGCTGAAGTGCGGGGAACTAGCAAAAGCAATTAGCTGACCATGTTGACCCATTGATAAACCCGTCGGAGTGATTGTGTGTGTTCCCCCCAAAAAGAAAAGGATGCTTTCTGAAAAATGGTTGCACCCTCCACTTGCTGATCAGCCAAGGGTCTATAAATCCCGGCTGCCAATTGGACGACCCTCCAATTCGCTGGTTTTGAACCTCACACGGCAAACTGGGACAACTCTTCAATTGTTTTTACATTGAAGGTTGGACCGTAGTCTAAAATATCAGTTTCCTTGTCAAAAAGCTGAGGCAGTTGTTGGATGATTGAAAAGGGAGTTCAACAGTAACCCATTCAGTTATGGGGTAATTACCAGAGACTAACCCAACGTCAGGCTCCATGGTAATTGGTGGGAGGGTATTTGGTTATGAGGCAAAATTACAGAAAACCACCAGGAAACCGCAGGTTGACTTCTTGTCTCCATTTCCCAGACCTCCATTTTGTTGGTGCCCATGTTTGATGCAAACCCATTTTTGCCTTTCCCAGGGCTCCATTGGAGCCCTTCGAAACTATCCGGGATCATCCCCTGTGAGGCGTGCAAGAAGCGAGGCATCTCTGTGGTCAACGCCAGAGCCTCGAGAGATCTCGAGAGCCTCGAGTCGAGGCCTTGGCCTTGGACTCCTCTCTCCGAGGCTTCTGTGCGAAATGACTCGCCCACTGGCGTCAGCTTATCGTTTTTCAGTGTTGCTTACTATTGTAAGCTGTGTTGGGGCTGAAAGCAAGTTGCTTGACTTACACAAGGCTCCTTACAAGATATATGTTGCAACCAGTTGAAACACGTGGCTTTTTCAACACCAAAATGAAGGGAACCCACCATTTACAAGTTGAAATGTTCAGGTGTACAATGTCAGGATCCCTGTGCACGAACTCCTGCACCACCCAAGAAACCCTAGAATCATGATTCTCCTGTAAATACCAACAACAAATGGTTCCCATGGTTTCTTAGGTGGTGCGAAATGGATTTCGCAACCATCCACAGTATTACAATGGGCAGCTTTGGGCCCTTGGAACTTTTGTCGCCAGTCCCACCTCTGTGGGTGCCTGGCTTGGGGGTTAGGGAAGCCAAAGGAAACCTAAGTTTTTGGGTCCATCCCAGCCCCTTCGTGGAGTTATGGCCGACTCCTGCAGTTCTATGATTTTTCTTCCATTCCCGACTGGACAAATTGTGTTTCGGGGTCCTCCCCCCAGCCCCTTTCAATGTTCAGCGGCACCTTTTTCCCCCTTTTTTTTGGGTGGCTGCCCCACTAAAAATGGTTGTCTTCGCCAAAAAGGGTTCCCTTTTTTTCCAGGGTCACTGAACAACTGAGGGAGAGGGTGGCCCCTACAAGGCAGACTCTCACGGTTGTCCTTGGTTGGCAAGCGGTGCCGGACGTGGAGAGCCGAAGTGGTGGCCGCAGACAGGTGCGCATTCTCGCGGCAAGCTTTTGCGGCTTCAGACCGCCCACGGCCAAAGGTGTCCTTGCTAGGTTAGTTTAGTTAAAAATAGATGGCTTCCACTGGTTTAGATGGGGTTTCTGCCCCATTTTACTAGGGAAACCAATCTATTTTTCTCCCAAAGGCCACCTATGCCCACGGCCCGATCGGATGATTTTTGTTCATTTTGCGGGTCAGAACGGGAGAGGATCACCGGCGACGAGACAAGCCTCGCCCGAGCTTTATTGATGTATCGCGGGATCTTGGTCACGCACACTCAATTCACTCGATCGAGGGTTGGCATTTCTATAAGTTGAGTTGCAACCTCCTTTTTGGTGCATTTTGCTTGGATGTTAGGACTTTCCATTAAACCAATAAAAGTTAAACTTTTAGCAGGGGAGCACAAAGCAACCGGATAGGTTTTCTCTAATGAAACCCTGGTTGGTGTACCAGGAGCCATCAGAGGGTGTTTGAACTGTCCTGTCAGGTTCGGTGTGTGTGTGTGTGTGGTGTGTGCGAGTTCTTGAAGGCTTGGTGTAACTGGAAAACCACCTCTTGGCTCCAAATCCCGAGAGGTGGATTTGTCCAAAGAGACGCCTCAGTGAAGTCATCGAGCGAACCTTTCGACCAAAACCTCAACAAGTTGCCAAACATTCAAGGGTTGCTTTGTTCCCTACTTGCAATAGTCGAGAATGAACGTTAGATCTTGATGTTTGGGGGCGGGGCAGCACCCCACTTGCCTCTAGGGCTGGATGGTTCACACCAACCCCAGATCTCCAAAGATCCCTGATCCCTTGTTGTTTGTGTTTTGTCCCAAGGCATCATCCAACAACAACTGGCGTCTCCTGCCAAACATGTCATATGCTGGGGTAGTCTCAATATTGAACATGATCTGAAAGTACATCTTTCAGTTTACGGCAAATGTGAGCCAACAAAGGAGTGTCTTTTGGGCTGGAGGAAAACTCAATCACGGTTTCCGATGTTGAGGGTCAGGTCTCATAGCTCCTCCATATCAAGGGTTTGGGCATGTGGTTTTTGATGATACCCTTTTCACCTTTGTTTGAAGGGAAGCCAAAAGGACCACCAATTTGAGGGGTCTCCCTAGCACGGCACATACCCATTTGCAGACTGAGCCTAAAGGCAGGGTTGAGTCAACACGGGGGACCCAACGACAACAGTCGGGCCCTTGTTGGAGTTGACCATGTTCAAGACATCATGTTTTGCACCTTGCTTGGGCAACCTTGTTGTATCATGAATTCGCAATTGTTGGACCGTTCTCAGATTTGCCTTGAACTGGTTTGCACCTTTTGTTTGGACACTTGGACATGGTTGTTTGCCATTTTTAGGGGGCCTTAGCCTATGGGCCGGGCCAAAAGGCTGCGAACTTCACAGAGCCCAAGAGAGCCTAGCTAGGTCCCCCAGTGCCCTTTTACCCTTTTGGGTTGGGGGGCCCCCCCGTCTAAAATAGACAAAACCGAAAAAAGTGAGTACCCTTATTCTATAACCTCTCTACTGGAGGACCTAGCTTGGTTTGGACCATTCAGGCTCCAGTGGTGCTAAACCCCAGGTGCCCGCGTACTCCACCGATTCCGTGGCCGAGCTTTCTGCAGGGGCGCCCAGACCGGACGACGCAGCCCTGGCACCCTGGCACCCTGGCGCCCTGTGGGCGTTTGGGCGTGTTTTTTCTTTGAGGGTACTCCATTGGTGTGGCTTTGAAGGAGAACCAAATGGACGGACCACCGCCATTTTTAGGGGGTCCCTTAAAAAACAAACGCGCACACGCACACACACACACACATTTGTTGGGATTTATGCAGCTAAATCCTATTCTCTGTTGATTGCTGCCCCTTGGAAGAGGAACACCCCCAAGGGCCTGGCACCCCCCAGCGCCCCTCTTAAGGCGGTCAAAAAACGAGGTCTCAAAAGAAGTATGTGTGAAAGAAACGGGGAATCAACGATTCTAACAACGGGGATTCCCTCCTTAGAAGGCACTCACAGAGCGAACATCCGTTCAGGGGAATTTTCAGGTTCAGGCGGGGTACGCCCTCGGCTTCGGGGGGTCGCATGGATTCTCACCCCAATTTACCTGCAAGCGAGAGGTTGCTATCAAAAATGGTGAGGGATGGAAATGGGAACTCTGTCAATCATCCATGAAACATAATCAACAGATCGGCCTTTGTGGTTGGATGTAGTTTGAGACTAGACCGAGTCAGGAAACAAGTGACCGTGTCAGGAAATACGAGTCAGGAAATGGGCAGGGGCGAGTCAAGAAACAACTAGAGGCAAGTAACAAACGACACAACATAATGTTTTTTCAGCAAGCGGCAGAACAAATGCACACCTGGAGGGTCTAGGCTTGACTCCCAAGTTTTGAGATTCCCCGGCATGACTCACGATACCTTGTTCACTTGACTCCAACTTTCACAACGCCCTGCCACATCGTCCCTGCCGTTTCCACGTCGTTTCCTGACTCACCGATGTGTTCTGACTCACGAACCTTATTTGCTTGACTCCAAGCTTTTCACAACTCCCCGACGCGTTCTTCCTGTTGTTCCCGGGGCCGTTTCCTGGCTCGCGGTCGTTTCCTGACTCTCGAAACCGTCAAACCGCGTCTACATAGTTCTTGACACGACCCAACCTGTTTCCTGACTTGGACCTCCTGACTTTGTCCAACCTGTTTCCTGACTCTGTTTCCTGACTTGCCCCATGCAGTTGCTCCTGCCAACCAATTGAGAGCAAACCGATTGGTGGAAGTCATTCATCCCCTTGTTGTTTTCCTTTTGACTAATTAAACGTTTATAGCTTGGGCAATTTAGCCTTAGCAGCATGGCAATGTCTTTCCAACAATCATGGAGGACAGGAGGTCTTGTCAAGAGGCCAGCAGCCTCAGCTTGCAGCGGGTATCATTGCTGATGGGGCTACAGCCCACTAGGCGGGTTGAACATCCAAGGTCCCCATGTACGGCCAGTGGGCAAGTTGCAATTCACACAATCAGACATGGGTGTGTCCTCCTTTTTTTCGGGACACCGCAAATTCGTGGTTTTCCTTTTGGTTTCCCTTTAAAACCCGGAAAACGAGGAGCACCCGCAAAACTTGGTGGCTGCCAGCCATCCGGTTCCTTAGCTTTTTAGGTTTTTAGGTGGTTTAGTAGTTGGGTGTCCATTCACCCACTAAAAGTTGGTCACTGTTAGCAGACCTGAGGCCATCCCAGCAAACAAAAACACAGACGAAGCATCCGCGAGTGAAGGACCTTGAGCTCCTCTTGCTCGTTACATCAGGTGGGCCTTGCCCTTGCGGTGTACCGAGAGATCCCTGCCGGAGAGAGGCCCTGGGTTCGGTCCGCAGCTTGGGCCAGGGTGAATAAACTAGGTCCCAGAGTGCCCTTTTACCCTTTTTTGGGGGAGGGCTCTCCCACTAGAATAGACTACTGAACAAAGGGTACCCTTATTCCAACCTCTCTACTGGAAGACCTAGTAAGTATGGGTACTTGTCAAAATAGGGCAACCAAAGGCAACCCCCAAAACTTTTGTTTGGGGCAAAAAACAGGTTCCCTCAAAACTCACACCCAGATCTTTAAGGTGGTTTTCCCGAGAATGTCGAGTGTGACTTGAACCATAGCCTGTTGGCATGTTCATGGAGACCCGGTTTGGCCGTGCTACGCAATGCCTTCTTTACACCTTGTTTGACACAAAAACCCGCCTAGCAACTCTTTCAAGGGCGACATATTTTGCTTAGCCTCTAAGAATAGCCTGGCACTTTCGATGGATGAACACTACATTTGTTGTCGGCAGAATTGCCAGATGGTGACCCTTTGGGGCCACGCTGCGAGCGGCCGCTTCTTCTACCAGCCCTCAGGACGGCCCTCACACCAAGCGCCTGGTACCGGCCCAGAAATGTCTCATCGTGCGTGACCCCGGCGACCAGTTCGCGCAACGCATCCGCGGCGACGGCAGATCGAAGCATCGGAAATGAGTCGCTCGGCAAGCTTGGAAGCATCCTCTAACTGACGCAGTGCCCAGGGCTTTCTGTTACCAGTAGGCTTACTTTTAGGCTCTACGTGATCTTTCGCTCGGGCCACCTATGTCGGGCAAAATGAGGATGACCCACTTCAGCAAGGGATCCAGGAGTTGCGCGCGTAGGTTCTCCCGAAGGCTTTTTCACCATGCGGGATTTTTTACCCAACAGAGTGGGGGATAGTCCCAACCAATGCCCCAAGAGCTCGCCTCGATTGGCTACGTCTCCCAGCCAGGTGCACTTTTGCCGTTTCTTTTTTTGGGGAGGGGTTCGGGACCCAACTAAAATAGACTACCGAGAGAAGGGTACTCTTATTCTAACCGCTCTACTGGAGGACCTTGTTTAGTCCATTTTTCTTTAAGGTGTTGATTTGAGGACCAAAGTGCCGTGCTTTCGATCTTTTCACGAGGTGCTACTCTTCCATGGGGCCTTCTGCCTGTTGTTTGGGGTGCTGGTGCAGTGCTACGTGTGCTTTGGGTATGTATGGTAAGTAGTTCCCTCACTTGCTCAAAGCGAATCGACCTTGTGGCCTTTTTGTAAAAGCAACGTGTTGGTCGTTTTTTGGTTCCAAAACATTCAGACATAGAGTTTCTAACAGAGGCCTTTCGAGGCACTCGTTTTTGGATGTGTGTTCGATGTACCTACCAAGGGAACCCAAGATGGGTCTGATTGGCTATAGTTCTCAAGCTTGATTTCTCTTTCGCTTCGGTGAGGGCCGGTTCCTACTGGGGGCTTGCATGGGGTTCACTGAGAGGTGAGGAGAGGCTTTTGGGGCAACTTGCCCATTTCCAGGGATCCGAGTCTTTCCGGGAAACGGCCAACGCGACGGTTGTTTGAACCTTTTTGAACATATCAAGGTCGATGGTTGAAAAGAAAGGAAAGGGAGTCAAGCCTCAGAATTTGACTATTTGACTGCGGACACCGAATTGCTGTCCACCACTCTTGGCTCGCAATTCCGATTCACGCCCTTTCGATGGTCGAGACACCCACATCCCCCTTCCATGTGCCTAAGAATATGTTGATTTGGTTTCCCCCCCTTTGGGTTTTTTAAAGGGGAATCTATCACTGGACATATTTTCTCCTTTTTCCCCGGGGGCAACAAAGGTAAATGGGGCAGCCCCGCTCTTGGAAGCCTAATGCCTTAGCGTCCGGCGGACTGCCAGGACGCTGCGGGATGGCGGCTGGGTGCACTCCGCCGGTGGCATGGAAATCAGAGACAAGGCTCGTGCCCTGGTCCGCTCAAAGGGACACCAAGAAGGGCGGTACGTAAACAACACATGGCCAGGTCAAAAACAACCTAGAGGATTTGAAAAAGGTATGACCTTCGTATGGCCCTTGGGCGAAAAACGGAAGTCAATAAATGAGTTGATGTTTAAACATACTTGTTTCAACAACATCCTGAAGAGTTTCCCTTTAAGACATGTTTGTTTCAAGCACTATGCCCTGATCATTTTTACCGTGAACCCAACATGATGTTTGGCTTCAGGTCGTCGGCATCGTGGGCCTTGGGGACATTGGCTTGAGGCGGGGAGGTTTCGGGTTTGGCTGACGCGAGTCATTCTCATGGCCTGTTTGTTTGTGGACAGCAAGCTGGGAGGTTGCCCCCAACTTATCAAAGGCCGCCAAGCCGCTTTCAGGGATTCCCCTTCTTAGTGCGTTTTGTTTTTTTGCTGCAAGTCCCAACGTGTCTAAAGAACTTGGGTCGAAAGGAAGGGCCTTGTGATTCATGGGCGCCTTTTACCTCACCATGACGTTATCCTCGGCTTGCGTAGGCTTTTTCTAGTAGGCGTGTCCTAGTCATAGCGGAACCTTCGCCTGGACCCCTCACCCAAGGTCCATGAGACCGTCTCAGACCATTTTGGAGTGCCCAAGGTGTTTGCGCCCCTCTTGACTCTTGACCCGTATGCAAAAGGCACGCCTCTTCCGGAAGAGGTTCCCATTGGAATCCACCAGCATAAGAAACCACCAGTTGTTTGCAGCCCTCCGTGGGTCCTTCCAACTGGACTGGTTGAGGGCCCCTCAGAGTTGAGGCCACAAGATGCCTGCTCGTCATCGTATTCTGCTGGTGGTCTCTGCTGGCCCTCATAGTGTTGATGTCGGAGGCACAGAACGAAGTTGTTCACTGACATACCAAGGGCTTTTGGAAGAATGATGAATGGGACAACGCGAGAAACCGTCATGGAGCTGTCACCAAAAGCACAACGCAACACGCACACAAGCATACACTGTACATACAAACAATGAAGCAGGCGGGCGACCACAACAGCGCAAGTGCATAACCAGAAGCACACGGACCAACCAACCAGCACACACAAGCGCACAGCCAAACACACAGACGCACAGACACTGGCACCCATACACAAACCAGCCAGCTGGCCAAGCAAGGAATGGCAAAGCAAGGTGAAGAGTGAACGCAGGAACACCAGCAAGCAAGGAAGCACAGCAATGAATACAACCAATGAGACAAGCGCACCAGCCCGGGAGACAAACAACCACAAACAAACAAGCAATCAAGCCAACAAACGAGCGAACACACAAACAACAAACAAACAAACAAACAAACAAACAAACAAGCAAACACACATGCACACAAGCAGACTAACAAGCAAGCGTGTGAACAGGCAAATAGACAATCAATCAATGCCAATATCACTATCAATATCAATATCAATACCAATATCCATATAAAAATCAATCTCAATCGATCAATCAATCTGAATGAATGAATGAATGAATGAATGAATGAATGAATGAATGAATGAATGAATGAATGAATGAATGAATGAATCAATGAATCAATCAATCAATGAATCAATCAATCAATCAATCAATCAATCAATCAATCAATCAATCAATCAATCAATCAATCAATCAATCAGTAACACGCTCGGACAGACCAACGTCTAAGCGCACACGCACGCATACAAATGGACAAACAAACATGTTTGGTTTGGTTGGAAGGAAGCGAATAGGAAACTAACAAGTGCACGTGCATGCCGCAAGCACGCATGTATGTCTTTTTCTCTGCACAAATGTACTCATTTGTGTAGGTACATAACATAGCCCTGTGCATGCACATAGAGTAGGTATGTGGTACTGGGTGCAAACATACACATGCGTGCGCATGCACAAGTGTATTGATCATTTGCATTATGCAATACATCAAATACTATGCCGTTTTGCACTACATGCAAGGAAGGAAGGCGGTACTCTTGAACAGGTTCTTAGCTTGGCGCACATGTGCTTGTTTGTGTCTGTGTGTGTGCGCGCTTGTTTGCCGGTTTGCTGTTCTTGCCTGATTGCCTTTGTTATAGATCTCCAATTTGCGGCCTGCAACAAGGGATGGAGGCACATCGCATTCGACTTCAGCCTTCCTCGCCAAGATAAGATCGAAGCCAAATGTGGCAAGCACATGTGGGCTGTGGAACGAACACCGGCAAGGGGTTGGTCTCATTTTTATTGCGTTGTTAGCCTGTTCGGATTTGAATTTGTTTGTAGTGGGCGTTTGTTGCTAACATCCCAGGGTGGTTTGGAAAATAAGAAGCCGTAAAGCCAATTTGGCAAGCTGCTTTCATCCTGTGCATACTTTGCTTTCAACAGGAGCAAAAGCGGCTTATTCACCACTTTCGGGCGAACTCTTGGACATTCAGGCGTCCGGCTTCTTCATGCTTGTGGACAAAAACAAAATGGTCTGTGATGATCGCAAGGGGAATTCCCAAAGTGACAAAGTCAAGGGGAATCTTGAGTACCCCAGCATCAGCGAAAAGAATCGGTGACATGTCCGCCATCTTCTCAGCTGTTGCCCTATGTGTCATTTCGAGTAGCTTGCATTGGCGTTTGCGGTGCACTTCAAGGAAGGCGAGTCAGCCATTACTTTGGGCGCTGTCTTCCTGGGGCGTCTTGGACATTTCGTAGGTCTCCCACTGAGTAATTGGACGGGAACGCAGCCCAGAAAAAGGCGGCCCTTCAGAGGGAAGGATGTATGGAGGTGTATGGAGGTATAGAGGGTATTCTAGGGCTACTGAAACCGTGACGCCCTTTTGTTGAAAAGGTACATTGTTACGTGTTCTTGCCGGTTGCTATAGTGATTTGGTTGGACCTTCAACCTTTCACTTCGGACAAGATGGAGTAGCTTTTTTATACGGCACGCCCAAAATGGCTGGTTTCCTTTTGTGTTCCATTTGCAACCAACCAAAATGGGTACCCTCAACATTCAATACAGGCAGACACATGTGTGCTTATTCTCACGAATCAACATGCTCAGTTTGCACACATTTGTGTTGCCCAGTGGTGCCCTTTGCTTCCCCTTTTCTGGGTAAGGGTTCCCCTTCAAACTCAACCAGCGAAAAAAGGGTGCCCTTGTTTGCCGTGGAAATCCACTGGGCATCTGAGAAGCCGAGCGGTGGCTGGCAAGCGGCGCTGCAGGACGGCGGAGCTCTTCAAAGCTTTTGGCCCCAAGGAGATCTTGGGGTGGTCCAAGCCTCGAGCTGCCCGATCGCGCTCTGAACGCCAATTTGGGCAGTCAAGTCATTTGGCTGTGCTCAAAACCAAGTTTTGGGATCCCATTGTGGTTGGATTGGGTGAATTCACCACCCAGTTTGGAACCGGGATTTTAGTGTTTGGATTGGGATGTTCACTGGGGGGTACGATTTGGATTTTGACCCATGGCCATATCACACGATAGAAGGAGCATGTGGGTTTGAGTATGGCTTAAATATCACATGGTAGACGAGTGTCACAAAATTCTCACTGGGCTGTTAACGGATGTTTGACCTGACGATGGAAGCCATGATCCAGCGATTTCCCGAGGCGAAGATTGCGAAAAGTGCACACTGTTTTCTATCAGGTCATGGTCAGTGGACAAATATTAAGAGCGGCTAGCTAACAGGCTCAGAGATCCCCCAAGTGAGCAATGAAACATGGTGTGCTTTTGCCGTGGCTATCGGTCATAGACAAACATTACTCGATTGCAACCAAAGCAAAGTCTCCTCTTGTCTTTGGTTTCCCAGCTTCCGGAAAGTTGAGTCCGGCCTTTGGCGATGCCTGGTTTCTAGTTGTAAGGCTTGCCCTCCAAAGAAGCATTTAGATCGAGTGTGGTGTCGCTTTGGGAGGCTCCCTAAAGTTCCTTCGCTAAAGTGGGACAATTTTCCGGGACTGCCGGTGCGGTCAATAGATGTCAATAGTGTGAGGGTGGTTTTACTCATTTACTGCCATCTACTTGTCCGAAAGGAAAACCCCGTTCTCTTGATAAACCACCATCACCCTCATGCATTGTGTGTTTGTGCATGTGATGTTCTGAAGGTTTGCTGTTAGGGTTGTAAGGGAAGCAAGCGAGATAAAAGCCATCCTTTTGTGTCCCTGTCGTCAATTTGCAACGTTTTGTCCCCCAACAGCTGAAAACTATGGGTTCTCTGCCCGGATAGGCTCTGGGGTGGTTTGGCGCAGCTTTCGGAGGGTTTTTGGTTTGAGTCGGTTTTGGGGCACTCCGGCCTTTCCTGCCGGATCTTCAACCCACTTAGATTTAATGCCCATGGTTCCATCGCAGCCACAATTCTCCCCCAGGTACCACGAGTACCACCTGAGTGACTTGAAACATCCACTTGGTCGTTTTGGAACAGCCGCCACCAGCCGCCACCAACAGCGCCACCATGCCCCGCACGTTTTTGACCGCGTTCCCGCGAGCGTGCAAGGTCGCGGAGGCCCAAGCCGGCCTTTGACAGCCTGGGCAAGCAGGTGCCCATCGAGGACCGCGACGTGTCACGTAGGGTTCCCTGCAGATCTAGGTCCCCCCGCGGCAATTGGTGCCCGACCTGTCACGCCTTTTTTGGTTGGGAGATTCGGTTCAACCCTACTAAAATAGACGAAACAGAAGAAAGTTGGTACCAACTTATTGCAACCTCTCAAATCTGGAGGACCTAGTTGGTGTGTCGTTTTGAGGGTACCTTGTGAGTGGTTCAAAGGTTTTTTTACAGGGGGGCCTCAACACCCCTCTTGGTTGATAGGCGAAGGAGGAAGCAAAAGGAAACCAACTAGTTTTAGAGGACCCCGATGTTGAAAAACACACATATTTCCCTTGTGCGATGCTTTAAACATCACCCTTTAGGCCGGTTGAAAGTAAGTTTTCTGGCGTGGGATGATGTTTAGGGCGGAAGTATGGGGACCCATGCTACACTCAACTAATTTAAGGGCACAAGTAGTTGCCCTTCAACCCATGAAATTTAGCCCGCACAGGCCCTGAGGGAACTATGACAGCTTCAGTCACGGCACCTTCGGAACGGTAGTCTTACCCAAGTGAGGTAATGGAAGACAAGGCTTTCCAGGATCCACGCGCTGTCCATGAAAGAAGGATGAGAGGGTACCAGCCCCTAAAAAGGGACCATTCCGCATGATTACATTCTTCATGCGTAGCTGCGAGGGATACGGTCTGGGGAACTTCCAACGCGGGGCCCGGTCCGCTTCGTTTTCCGTTCGACTAGTCCGAAGAAAGAAAAAAAAAAGGTGCGATCAAACAGCACAGCCTATCAACCACTAAAAAAACATATAGATTGGGTGAGCACTTGGATGTTCAACCCAGTACCCACACCGGCAGGAGCTGTTCGAGAAGGCGGACATCGTCTCTTTGCACGTCGCGCTGAACGTTCCTTGGCCTGCGCTTGGTCAATGGAGGGGCCCCTGTGCAAATCAACATCAACTGGAGTTGGTTGCAAGCTTTTTAGGATGAGCAACGGACAATATGTCTGTACGTTTTGAGGGTACCTTTGCAGCTTTGAAGGCAAGCCAAACGGAAACCCGGCCAGGTTTCGGTTTCGGACGGTTTTCTTGGCGCTTATCTTGGGTAGTTCCCCATGAGCTTGCGCAAATATCGGGCAACATGGGAGTTTCTCAGAATGGTGGACGCGTGATACTTGATAGCCAGTCAGACGTTGACGGACGCCAGGGCCAGTTCATCAGCCAGGTCAGACAAGGGGCCGTGGCCCGCGCGATACACAGAGAAGGGGCGCCGGCAACGGAATGTGGCGAAACCGACTACAATTCTTGTTTACGAGTTCAGGCGAAGGCCTCGCAAAGCGCAAGAATGCCACACCGTCCAAGGTTAACAATGCCACACGTCTGGCATTCTTTTGGTTGGCATATGGTGTATGAAAAGGCAAACGGTTTGCGCTTCATACTTCCCTTCTGGGATACTTCGCTGCAGCACTGCATGCATAAGTGTGGGTTTTTTGGCCGTGATGCTGCTTTCAGGCCTTTTTTTCAACCTTGAATTCTCTGCAAGTCCATTTGTTGGCAGAAAAGTCTCACTGGAGTTAGGTTGACTGCCTCTTTGGGGCCAGATACGCGGAGGTCCAAGTCAGGGTCTGCAGGGGCCACGCCGGAGCCGCGAAGCTGTCAGGTATTAAACCAAATGGCCAAGACTAAGATGGAAAGCAATTAGTACCATACTGGAGCAACATCCGCAAACTCTTGGGGAGAGAGAAGTCTTGGACAGAGCCGGCAAACTTTGGAACAGCTAAGACCGAAAAAGTCTCCAAAGGGCTGACTGGCCAATGTGACGTTCCGCGGGGCTTCCTGCGACCGCGATGTCATCAGCCCCCAAAAGCTACCACATGGACTAGCGTCGCAATAGGGCGCGAATATGAACTTTAAGTTCGAACACGGCCGAGGATGCTCGGGAAGACTGGCGGAAAAACTGCAAGAATGACTCTGGGCTGGACAAGCTAAGGAATGCTCGGAACAACTGGTCGGAAAAGCTCGGAAAGACCTGGCCGGAGTCGGAAAAACTGGCAGTTGAACATGGAGAAGCGGCAGAAACTCGGAAACGCCGGGCGGCAAAAATCGGAGAAACTGGTCGGGACAACCTGGACAACCCGGGCGGAAGAGCGGGACATCGGAAAACCCGGCGAAACTGGGCGAGAACAAATGGATTCAACTCGGAGAAACGGGAACAACTCGGGCAAGACCAAGCGGGGGAAAAACCAACAAAATCAAAAACGACAAGCTCGGAGGAGCAGCATCCGATGATGCGCACATTCATGAGAAAAGTGGCGCCACAAATCTGTGTGTTGTTGGAAGTGGTATGTTGTGACTGCCGAAACCTGGCGGGTTGACGTTTGGCCTGAGTCGCGAAAATGTGGCAAACATTCTGGGAGGTTTTCAAGATTACTGTTTGTGGTGGGAACTCCCGGTTTGCTCCGGCAATTTTGAGGATGTCTTATGGCTCTGATTTTTTACTGGGGAGCTCCCTCAACAGCGGTTGGTGGACACAAATCCCAACCTAAATGATGTCCACCAAAGGGTCCCTGATGAGAATTCATAGCCATACTGTCTTCCCACAATGGACCCACTCGAGGCAGAGACGCAAGGCATCATCAACCGCTCTCTGATGGAGAGGCTGCGCCCTGAGGCAGGAAATGTCCATGTCACAAGGTGTTACTTTTGTTGTCTTCCATTTGGTTAGGATGTTATTTTATTTTCGCGGTCAGGAATCTGGGCAAACTGCTATGGCCTTCATCATGGATATTGGATCGTTTCACTTCCGGGTGCGTATTTGGGGCACATGACTTCAGTGACACCAACATGGGTTAACCATCTGGTTATTCCATCACTTTGAAAGGGATGAATTTGGTACCACAGAAGGTGGCCCCTAAAACCATGCTTTCCACAACCATTCTCCAAAGAAAAGACTCCACTTGCTCATGCCCCGTTGCCAGTAAAACAGGGAACAAGAGACGTGTCCAACTTTAGTTTTGAAGTGGAGTTGGTCGTCTATGGCGCTAGCTGGAAGCACATGGCTATTTCATGTATGAATTCTATGTTGCAATTTGCCCAGATGGATGGATTTGATTTGTACTTCTTGCAGCAAGATTAGTTCTTCACGCTTGGCGCTTTGAAACGTTCTAATGCTGCCCCGGAACCAACCTCAGTTGTTCTGTGTCTCTATTTTCCCCCTTTGGTGGATTTTCTCAGAGATGGAGTCAAACCCAAAAAGAAACAAGTTCCTTTTTTTGTCTTTCTACCGTTTCATTGACTGGGCAAGTGGGCTTGGGTGCCTTTTGACAATTCCTGCCTGTTTGACAATAGTATGACAGCGCATATGCAACTATAATACCACCCTTGGCAAAGGCCCAGGCTCGGACTTTTGAAGCCAACGAATCAAAGCGCACTGTTCAAGCGGTCTGGAAAGGGGCAGTGCCATTTCAGCCATGTCAGTTGGATTCGAAGCTCCTTTTTGGGAAGAAAGGCAAGCCAAACCCACAACCCCGAATACGCGCCCGAATGCACACGAATACAATTCCGAATACAAATGCACCTGCACAGGCACACACACACACACACATGTCCACACCTGAATCTGAAGAAGGTACACAACCAAGAAGGGCCTCGGTTTAAGGAAACTTGTGACCATTCAGATGATTAAACCCGCTCCACAAGTAATGCATGGAAGGGGGCAAAGGGCCAGTCCCCAGGTTCATACATTTTTCCTTGGGCAAACTATGTTTGAAACATACCTATAAACTCCGAAAGGCGAAAATTTCAGCCTGAGACTCGAAAAGGCGCCTTTTGCCGTCCCGGAACTCGAAGGGGAGCGGGTTGTGGCGGCGTTTTTCAATTTGCGACGGCGTTTTTGCGGTTGGTAGGCATTTGGCCCGACGTGGGCTGCTTTGCAAGATCTGCGCATTTCGGACCGCGACTATGCAACTTTGCCTGGTTTTGCGCTAGGTTTTGTGAGTTGGTGAAACTCGAAACGACCTGTTGGAATACCCACTTGCTTTGCGGCCAAATGTGATGACTTGCACCGGCGGAAACCTACGTCCCGAAGGCGGAAACACGCGTCCCGACGGTGGAAACGCGCGTCCCAACGGCGGAAACGCGCGTCCCAACGGCGGAACTCGAGCCCAAGCATCGCAAACGCTTTCTTGATGAAGTTCTTCAAATAATCTTCGCTAAGGAGCGATCCGGGTGTCACAACTCGACCAAAGCCGCCTTGCAAAAGGGCGAAAAACACTTTTGTGTGGTGTTCAGCGCTTCATGTTGCTACCTTCTGATACTGATACTGCTTTGCGCCGAGGCCCTGAGCTGATTTGGATCAGCCAGGGGCCAACGGCGTTTCTTGCAAACTGCCGGCGTTTCTTGAATTTAACGGCGTTTTTTTGTTGCGGCGGCAGAAGTTCCCGTCCAAAATCACAACGGCGTTTATTTTAGCCCGACGGAGTTCTCAGGTATGTGCAAATCAGACGCCCCTCGCCGAACCCTCACCCGTTTGCAACCAAAATGCTGCCTTTTGGCCTCATTCTGGGTTTCCCTGTATTTTTCCTTTGTTGTTTTCAACATCAGCTTTGCTCAGACTCTTTTCAGAGGTACGGATGCAAAGATACTTCCACACTTGCATTTGCTTAAGAATATGTGCTATTTTCTCGGCTGGTGCTAAAGGGAATCTATGACTACTTGATATATTTTTCATGTTTTCCTAGGGAAACGAAAAAGCAAACGGAAGAGATTGGGTGATTGCACGTCCCCCACATTTTGCAAGTACGTCCATAGGCTTAAGCAAACGGAAGCTGATGGAGAGCCTTTTCTGCCTCGCCAGTCGGTGCTCATCAACGTGGCTCGGGGGGGCGTTTGCGACCAGCCGGCGCTGGCTGACCTCCTCTCCAAGAAGCGGTTCCGCGCAGGTCTGGAAAGCCCAGCGTCAGGGAATTCATGCTTGCCCTTGCGGGCAAGCATGTTGTGTTTTTTTGTGTTGTTTGTTGGTTTTTTTCTGCTTTTTTGTGGAGGGGGGGTTGTGGTTTCCGTGAAAACCAACATTTTGAGGACAAATTCGAGGATTGTAACTATAATCCAGGAAATGCGAGCGAGCCTTCCTTGCGCAATCGTGATTCAGGACTCCAAACATGTGAAGTCGATGGCTTGTGTCACTTTGAAAAGTCGATTTCGCCGACGGCTCAATGACGCAGGTGATATCTCTTAGATAGTTTGTTTTCTTTTTCCTGCATAGATGGCTGCGGCAGTTCCCGGACGCGAGCCTTGCATGCGGCATCAGTTGGGAATTGGGGGGTAATTAGGATGTTGGGACGGTGTAGTTGGTGCACCCCGGATGAAGTTAAACCCCTGGTTGATTTTGATTGGGGGGTGTCCCCTTGTAGAGGGGATTCATCACTTTTGGAGGGGACGGGTTTATTAATCGTTTATTAATCCTGGGTCAACATTAGTTGGTGTACCTGGTTTTGTGAGTTGGCACCCTTGGCTTATTTTAAAGTTGCAAGGGAGAACTCAGCCATTGCGGGGTTCCACACTTGCAAAAAGGGGCTGCGGGGCGTTCACACACACATCTGAGATCTCTGACAATTATTGATTTTGTACGTTCAGGTTCTCTTGATAGGGCGACTTGTTGTTTTTGTTCAGGACAAAAGCTGAGGGACGAACGGTGGGACAAATTATGATCCACCCAAGTGTTTCCGACGTCCAACCTGTCACCGATGGAGATTCATACATGTTCAAACGTCCGATAGTATGTCCACGGTGTTTTCAGCATGCACAGTTGCACATACCCCTCAACGTAATTAGACTTGCATGGGTCGGCACATTGGGGGATTTCGCTTTTGTGATGGAAGATCAGTTTGTGGGGGGATTCCAATGGAGCACCAACCCATCCCAGCAACCCTTAACCAAATCGGGTTCTACATCTTCGGTTCATTGAACCCATATCCGACAGGTTGAATTCAGAGTTCGAAGTGGCTCCCATTTTTGGAGGTCACCCTTGAACATGTGGGTAAAACGGGTTTCGGACCCCCCCCCTTTTGGTGGGTGGTTTGAAGGGTTTCCTGAAGGAAACGGACCATTTCAAGGACCACACATTTGAGGACACCGCCATGCATGCCATGCATGCCATGACGCCCTACCACTCCATGGCGAAGGAATCGGCCAGCGATTCCAAGGATCCAACAGATTTCGGGGTGTCCAACACCAGGCCATTTTAGGTGGTTTTACCAGCTGGTTCCATGGCTGTTTTTTTTTACTGTGACCCAAAGGCCCCGAAAAGACTTCTTGGCAAATGACTGTTCCATTAAACCTACAACAGGCGGGTTCTTTTGCTTGAGAATTGTGATGGGGCTGAGTAAGGCTCATTTGACGACTATGCTGGTAGAACCAGAAACGGGGTTCCGGGCTACTTCAGCGGCATGGGGAACATGCTCGGAGCCCTGTAAAGAATCCCGCGTTTCCGAGGTCTCCAAGTATATGTTGTGTGTTGATTTAAGCTAAATATGGACAAGAGCCAGAACACAAACGTTTTCCGTGTACCCGTGGGAGGTTTGGGGACTAGGAAACAATTTGAATTATGTTTACAACCCAACATTGAACAGGTGCTTTGTCCTTCACATTCTGCGTCCATTTCTTCTTTATGTTTTTCTTCATTACTCCTTCGTCCGGACCCAAGGTTCCGACCAACTCGGCATATCCCATCTTCCACACTGCTGATGATGAGTCGAACGAGGAAGGCGGGCATTGCCTGGCTGCAGTGCTGGAGGAAGATGACCTGGAAGCTTGGCGCAAAGAGTGCAGGCGGTTCAGATAGCAAGCGATAGAACACAGGGGAAGAAGGCACCGGTAAGAATACGAACTCCGGCATGGTAAATGTCAAGAAACGCGCATGTCTTTAGGGGACATGCAAAATTATGAGGAAGACAAGACCTAATATCTTTGCCACTCAATTCCTGTGGTTTCTGCTGCAACAATCATCGGAGGACAACGACTTGTAGCTGACGGCAACGTGCTGCATACAGCCAGGAGCGTTTCTGCTGCAAAGTGAGAAGCTGCAAAGCGATATACTTTCAGCAAGCACTACTACTGGTACGATTGCGGCTGGTGTCCTGTTGCCACTACTACCGCTGCTGCTGCCACTGCTGCTGCCGCTGTTGCTGCTGTTGCTGCTGCTGCCGCTGCTGCTGCTTCAACGGCCAAGACTTTTGATTCCAAACAACGCACGGTGTCGTGCGATCATGCAGCTTCTGGAAACGGCGACGTGCGCTTGACTTGATAAATTTTGGTGCTACCTGCAAAGCAGCTGGTAAAGAAGTTTGAGTGAGCATAAATTAGATGCCACCCGTGCAAGGATGTATCAGCCTTCGACAAGAAATGCAATTGGCGGATGTATGCTTGACAGGAAGGCCATGCAGGGTTGACCGGGTCAATGAGGGGCTTGTCCTGGAAACGGATATGGAATTGCGGAACTCGATCAAGTTGATACGCAGCTAAGTATAGAAAGCCATAATGTACAGATAGTCCAAACACGAGAAGGAGCCTGATGCGCATGCGATTTGGTAAGATGTTGCAGCGGCCTTCAATATTGACTTCCTGACTGCTCAGGGTAGCAGTGGCATTTGATGACAGATAGTGGCTGGCACAGGCAGATAGTGGCACTAGTGCCAGATGATGGATGATGATCATCTGATGGATGAGGGATGATGGATGAGGATGATGGATGATGGATGATGGATGATGGATGATAAATAATGAATGATGGATGATGGATGATGGATGATGGATGATGGATGATGGATGATGGATGATGGATGATGATGATGATGATTATGATGATGATGATGATGATGAGGATGAGGATGAGGATGAGGATGAGGATGAGGATGATGATGATGATGATGATGATGATGATGATGATGATGATGATGATGATGGCAGGAGTCTGACACCCCAGTCCTCCCGTTGTGCCCTTCTCCTTCTTTTTGTAACGGGTGTCCGTTCAGCATGGATTCTCCCAGAAAGGTGGCTTTCTTTCCCACTGACACTGCAGGTTTGGCACATGCGTGAACATTAGGAACACTGGCACTTTGCAGCGGAGCTCTTCTCTCTCTGCTTGTCTCTTCTCTTGTCTTTCTTCTCCCTCTTCTCTGTCTTCTGTTTCTTCTCTCTTCTCTGTTCTAGCTTCTCTCTCTCTCTCTTGTGTCTCTTGTCTGATCTCTATCCAGTTGGGGCAACGGGCCACGCCATTGCACCTGTCACTCCCTACAGAGGCCCCATATGGCCCCATTTGTAGAGTGTTTTGTCAGAGTGCTTCTGGCCGCGACCCGACTTCCCCCAAGGACCGCGTGGCCCAAAAAAAGTTGAAGCTCGTGGCATCCGAGGCGAAGATATCGCCTGGCGGCCGCGACAGGGCCGGCACCGCCGGGTCTGGCGGCTGATCTCCAAAGTCAGACTAGGTCCCCCAACAATTGGTGCCCGACCTCTCACCCCTTTTTTGGTTGGGAGGCTTCTTTCTGCTAAAATAGACTACAGTACGGAAATAAGTTGGCACCCTTATTCCAACCTCTCTACTGGAGGACCTAACAGACCTGGGGGCAGTTCCTTTTCTGTTTGAGAAAGGTTTTGGGGTGTCCATTCAGCTTCCAAATTTTCAGGTGGCTTCCAGAATCCAGATGTAGGCTTTGTTCAGCATGGCTGCCATGTGGAAGGTCGAGGATAGCTAGAGTCGGTCTGCAAGAAACCGCAAAGAAGCAGCTACCTTTGTGAAATCGGACCAAAAGAGGTGGATCCTTTCTTTCCCATGGGCATCTAGAAGTTTGGGACTAATGCAGCTGGAAGTTGTCTTGCTCTCGAATCGAACGGATCTGCCTAATTGTCCCGTGTTGGTACGTTGGCAAGGTCCTAAATGGTCCGCAAGCGGGAGAGGTCAACCAGAGCCCCCTAACGGCTGCTTCTCCGAATGTTAGAGATGGGAAAAATGAGCCCTTAGGTGCTGCAACATTGGGTGTGTCCCAGGGAACCTGCAAATTGGGTGGTTTCTTATTGAATTCCCTTTAAATCTATCCAACAAAGGCCAGACATATGAAACCCCAAGTTTGTTTTTTGTGAACTTGGGATGAATCCGGAGCGCCATACTTTTCTCCAGATTTGCAACTGTTTGTCTTGGTTTCTTTTCAGTGTGCTTGTTGCTTTTTGTTTACCCTAGGGTTGTAAGGCTGGGTTGCTCAACATCAATCCTTGATCCTGATGAATGGCCCCCCCCTCCCTTTTGCCGCTGACTCCTCAAGTGCCACTTGAGCATGCTTTAGTGGCAAACAAAAAGTTCAGACTGCTGCCCAATTCCCGGAAGTGAGCCACAATCAAAACCCGGGTAAGTGAAGGTTAGTAAGGGACGATCACAGCCATAAATCGCTGCGGATATCCGCCTTCTTAGTTCTTGAAGCATGGTTCTGGGATTACGACCATTTTTGTACCGGGTTTTGAGCAAGTGACTCGAGTGAGCTTGGAACACCCAGGGTCCCACGACCCGACTTGACCCAGGTCTAAGCTTGGCCTCAACATGTTCTAGCACAAGCCACCGCAATTTGCGACAGACACGCGAGGCCCGCCGAGAAGCCGAATCTCGAGCAACGCCGACTTTGTGTTTCTGGGGTTCTCAAAGGCAATCCTGAGCTCTTATCATGGGTATGAGGGGTCCCCTTCTAGGTCCCCCAGCTAGGTGCCCGACCTCTCACCCCCTTTTTGGTTGGGAGATTCGGTTCCCCTACTAAAATAGACTACCAATAAAAGGGCACCCTTGGCCTTTGTAGTATCTTATGTTGAAAGATGAAGGATTAGGATTGGCCGACCCTCTTTGAAGTGCCCAATTTGAACACCGGGTTTCAGGGCGCGAATGAGGGATTGGTTCCCACTTCTGTGATAGGGAACCTTGCCCCTTTGGATATTTTAGGTCATTTGAAAGCCTCCTTTGGAATCATGCCGGGCAATTTTCCACCGTCCTGCCCAGCTTTGCCTGAAAATGAGGGATGCTCCAACTTAATGTGAGGAACCACGCATTTACTAATAGTTTACACATATAACGATGACCACATGTGGTTTCAAAGTACCCCGCAATCCCATTCTAATTATTTAGGCCCGTATATTGCCTGTTCAGTTTCCAAGCTTTGAACTTTATGTTTCCGTGTTTTCTTCAGCACTCTCCCTGCACGGTGTACCTGCCAACAAAAAACACACCCAGCCCTGTCCAGTAGATTGCTAGCCATTTTCCAACAATGGGAGTTGGGCTATGTCAGGCTTTGGAAGACTGCCATCCTCTCAAAAACGACCTTTTTTCTGTTGTGGGTTTGTTGGCTGGATTTTGTCTTCTCCACGTTTTTAGAAAGGGAATGGACTTGAGCCTTTGGCATTTCATGATTGATGACATTCAAGCTTGTCTTTTAGGGAAGCTTCCTTTTTGTGCCTTTTTTGTGCAGGGGCTTCAAATCTTTGAACCCTTTGAGAGTGACGGTCTGAGTTGTTTGACGCAGTTGACCCCCAACTTTCAACCCGAGTGTCTTAAAATGATGGACTCGCAACTCAGAACGACTCGTCTGTTTTCGTGTTCCTATCTCCGCATTGCTACCCTCAGCGGAAACGGGGGGTGCCCCCATTGTTTTTTTTTTTTTTTCATGTTCCCCTCCGTGGGGTTTCTGGAATTGAACTGGAGGATCCCCTTCCCCTATATCTCAGGTAGGGCAAACAAGTCTCAAGCAAAAGGGGTTCCCTTGAAGTAAAAATAAACTCAAGTGAGACTCCTGGCCCCTGCAAAAGAGTTCTGACCCTATCAAACCCCCCTCCTTGGAAGGTTCCTTTCGAACCTTTCCTGGATTCCAGCCTTATTTTTGCTCGCTTGGCACACCAAAACTGGGGGCTCCCGTCGCAAAGCGTTGGTTTTCTTGAGGCGCAGTTGAAGCAATTTCTCCGCGCCAACAAGTGCAAAGAGGTGAACGAGTCTGTGGACCAGCAGGGCTGCCTAAGCCTTTGGAAGGAGCTCAACCCGAACCCATGCCAGCTAGTTCTTTCCTTTGGTTAAGAATATTTTTTTTCACTTTCCCCTGTTGGTTTTAAAGGGAATCTATCACTGCTGGATTGTTTTTTTTGTCAGGGGACTTAAGCAAATGGATGAGTTCCTTCGGGATGTTGGAGCTTCGAGCTTAGGGTTTGATGAAACGTTTGGATTGTTGGAGTTTGGAGATAAGAGCTTGGAGTTTGAGTCTGAGGACAGTTTCGAGTTTTCCCCACCAAACATTCACTCCCTCGCCCCCCCCCCCCCCCCCGAGAAAGTAAAACACGCGTCCAGTACCAGTTCCAGGTTGAACCTACCTTTTTTGCTGCCGGTTTGTGGATCAGAATACGTTTCCAGGTTGTGGGTAGCCAACATTGGCCGTTGAAAAGGGTTGCACATCATTGGCACAGCTTTTGAAGAAACCTATCTTGAGCCATAACAAACACAGCCGAGAGTGGACTGGTGCCGAAGGGGCCATGAAGTATGGGACATGACCTGCTGGCTCGGATGGCTCTGATTCAAGGCTGAATCAAGATTTTGTGTTTCGACATGCAGGGATTTGTCATATTCGGGGCAATGAGCAACGGTGGAGCATGGGGGAAATTTCGGGCGGCAGTTTCGCAAGCCATCGGAAGTTGTGGCACTTGCATTGGGAGTTGGGTTGGGTTGAAACTGAATGGGAACCCCAACACCTCTCTTGCTGGTGGAACATGTGTGTTTTAGGTTGCCAGGACTTTTGATTGAAGCGATGAATCGGAATCAAGCCTCATTTTCCACCATGGGAAAGTCTGAAAGTGAGGCTGCGGGCTCCTGTTGCTCGTTTATTCAAGCTGATTTTGCGTTGCACCCTTTGACCCCCCAAATAAAGCATGAGCCCCCAAACATCTTGTTGAGAGGGCGTTCTCTTGGGCAACTGTTTGGGGCACGCCACGTCAACTTGCAGGGGAGTCACCGTTGGGCACGGGCTGTTTCCAGCCAAAAGCTTTGCTTTCAGTCGGGCCGAGGTTGACCAGGTTTGGATTGGAGGTGGGGTTGGCAATCGACTCTCAACAAGGAGTTCAATTCTGACGCGGCGTCATAAGCAAGATAGTGTTGGTTGGGCGTGTCTTCAAAAAGAGGGGTTGTAGCTTGTAGCTTAACTAGTCAAAGGACGCTTGGGTTTCCTCCATTCCCTGGTTTGCTACACTAGTGCCGAAAGTTGCGACTTTCAAGACGGAGCTGCCAAATGTAATTCCTTTGCTACACTTTTACTTAAAAGTTGTGACTTTCGAGCTGAAGCTGCCTAAATGATGAAAACCCACAAACCCTTTGAAACGATAGGGTTACAAGAACCGATGCCCGCTACCCGTTGTCCTTTTCCTGTACAAAAGGTTTGGCACAAATAAGTTGCTGCCGTCTATGCAACAAGAAAGACGGGCGCGCTGTCGATTTGTGTTTTCACTCGCTCACTGGCAGGAGCGGCTATTTCCTTTGCACATTGCTGCACGGAATGGGGACAAGGACTGGAAAGGCTACAGGTGCTTTTGTGTGTGCCTTTTTTTGAGGATGTGGGTTTGTCTCAACAGTTTCCTTTTGGTTTCCCTTTCAAGAAACCCGACACGGGTACCCTCCACAACAGACACATCCATGTAGTCTCTGAGGACGTTTCAAGCAGAGCCACCCTTTCTTCAACGGGCCTTTCAAGAGGGAGTAATCTCTGCGAAAACCGTGCTGTCCACTTCGAACCACGTTTGTTTTGAACATGTGGTGACGAGAACTAGTCACTTGGGAGGACGTTCGCAATAGTGTTTGAGATACGATGAAGTCAGGATCTAACAAAGGCCCTCATTGTGTTTGCTCTCTCATGGTGGACAGGGTAGCTGGGACGCGACAGTAGGATTTTCATTGAGGGAACCATGACTGTGGCTCAACGGGTTTTGACAATTGTGGCATCTGGATCTATCCCAGCCCTTCCTTCACGTTCCCTTTGTGAATTGATTCTCCAGGAGTGCCGCTTTGGGGAGTGCATTTGCCCCAAAGACATTCTTCATGACCGCTTTTTTGTGACCTTTGCTACTTTCAGTAGCATGGGTGTCCTTTTTAGAAAATGGTTTGGGTTAAAAACTAGATCACGCTGGCTTAGAAAGAGGTTTGCCAGTGCCATGTATCTTTTCAGAAGGCCACCTATGACTATGTTCAATAGGCTGTCGCTTGATTAGTCAAGCCAGCGGATTTGGGCATCCAGAACTCTGCAGGACATGGTGCGAATCCTTCTTGCGGCGGGAGCAGACTCCGAGCAGAAAACCTCCCGTGGGCGGACCGCCGCAGACCTTGCACGCCACGCCGACAAGGAGCGAACGAGGATTTGTTGGGCGCTTAGGTGTATTTCCTTGCACATTAAAGGGAACACCAGTCATTTTGGTGCAGACGCACCCATTTCGGGGGGGTGTTCCAACTGTTCAAGCGCACAGCCATATTTGGAACATACAAAATTCAGACTCTTTGGGCCCGTTACTAGTTGTGAGTTCAGATGGGCGGCTACAGCCCCAATCCAAGGAGGCTTCCCTCGGGTCTCATGTATAGGGAAGTTTTGTATGGAGGGCCCCGTATGAGTGGTGCATACGCCTTCGGAATGTTGGCAGAAAACGAAAGTTCAACGAGTGGTACGGGCGCTGTTTTCCTGGCAAAGATCAAGTCTATATAGGGAAGTGTTTCAGAAGTGCCAACATGACGGCAGAGTCTTTTAAGAAGGAATTTGGGGACCCCTGTCCCGGTACGCCCTTGAACATTTGTTTGGGCGGACGTGTTAGAAATGGGTGTCATAGATAATTGTGCTGTTTGGGGCCTGAGTTGTTTTTGCTGGCTCCAGATCGATGTGGTATCGGTATTTCATTGACTAAACAAGCTAGTATTCGTTGTGTATTACCAGGGCTTGGGATCTGGTTTTTGCTCACCCTTGGAAGGGCAGCCATAGTATTTCCTTCCGAACAAACAACTTTTCTGACCCCTTGGTTGTCCGTCTTATTTGCTATCCGACATGAATTTCCTCTTTGTTTCCCTTTTTTTGCCCACCCTAAAAGAGCCTCCAAAAAACACACCTGTTTTCTGTGCGTCAATGCGGCCCGGATCTCTATCAGTCAAAACGCAAGCTCTTGCTGCAAAGGTTTGGCTAGGGCAAGTCGGACCTTGATCGGGGCTGCGAACTTGGCAATAGCCAAAACACCTTTGGGTAGACAAAAACTAATATTGAGTCCTTTTGTATTCTTTCCAAGGGACCAAATGCCCCTTTCGACTGGGCCTTTATAGATTTCCTGAGGTCCCAAATGCCTCCCTTTCCCCAGAAGATGGAAGGAAGATCCTAGCCCACCAACTCTCAGAACTTCAGGCTCCTTTTTTTGAGATGGCGCAGAACGTGAACCCGTGAAACCCTCCTCCCCCATTGCTCGGTCAACAATTGGTCAGGGGGAAGCCCTTGAGGTCCGACTGAAGGCTGAGTCGAAGAGCCGTTTTTGATCTTTCGATTGGTCGATTGGTTCCAAAAGGTGAGCTTTTTATTTTCAGATCCTTTTGGCAAGCGAGAAGGGGTCAGGTCTTTGGAGCCATTGGTGAAGATGTGGCAAGGAAAGGTGTCCTTCCAAATCGCCCCCGTGCCTGATGGCCAAGCAATTGGGTTCTAGCATACTATAATATCTCCTTACCCAAATGAGGCGTGAGGGGTTCAGGTGTGACAATGAGACACCAATGGATAGAAAGCACATTCTACCCCCCAAAGCACCGGCGCTTATAGCATTGCCAGACGTTTTTGCCTTTTCTGCTTTTGGAAGGCGGCAAAAAGTTAAGTTTTTGAAGGGGAGGCACTCGTTCGGCCAGTTATCAGGTGTCCGCGGCCAAATACCATCTTCAAAACAACTGGTACTTGGGGTTCGTAGGGATGGTAGTGAACCCTGCACCAAAATCCGGCACCAGTTCGGATGGATGAAGCCCAATGGAAAATTGGAGAAGCCACAGACAAACTGGAGCAGGATGGTTACGTCCACGGTAGGGAATGTAGATAAGCACTCTAATGGTTGCTTGTAAGGAAGCCATGTCCAGTATTGCCCACATGGAACGCTTGGGGGCACGGCCCCTCCTTCTCCCGCAGGTGCTCATTTCCCGGACGAAATCCATTTCGCACCACTTTGAAACCATGGTTGAAACCATTGTTTGCTGGTATATGCAAAGAATCATCAGAAACCAGGGTTTCTGAACGGTGCTGCGAAATGGATTTCGCAACCATCCACAGTTTGTCTGCCGATGTTTTTTATCACCTGGAAATCAACAAGCTCACCTTTAAGCGCCTCTACTTGGGCTTCCATGTGGCTGTGGTTGTCAACACCGTTTTCGGATCCCATTTTGGAGTAGGTGAATTCACCACCCATTTTAGAACCTATTTTAGTGGTTGGATTGGGATGTTCACTGGGGTACGATTTGGATTTTGACCCATGGCCATGTTTTCCTTTTGGTGTCGGAAGGTGACCGTTTGTACCAAACGCTAGGTGCAGTCATTGCCCAGGGGCAATGAAACAGCCATATCCCGGTTGGTCCCTGAAAGGAAATTAATGGGAGAGTGTTTAAACAACGGCTATTTCGGATGCTTATCACAATTGTCAAGAGACCCCCAGCTGCTTGACAGTTTGTGTGGTGCAACTTGTGCTTTTCTGGGTCATCAGGATAGATCGCACCAAGATGTCTTGGCGCTGCTTTCCACTGACGTGAAGGTGGTAGATGCTCGCACCCTGCAACAAATGGGCCGAATGTGAGTTGCAAACCAGACACCTCCGAAGCGTGCCTCTTTTTCCAACTTGAACGGCGGGTTGCCTGTTGTTGGAGTCTCATCTTAGAACGCAGCTAGAGGGAAGACCTATAGAGTATTTGCTCTCGCCGTGGCCGCTGGGGTCTGCAAAAGCAACCAATGTTCAGAGGGTTCCCGGTTGCGTCGGCATGCCACCGTATCAAAAACGGAGCATGTAACCGCACAAGCCTTTCTGGCGTTGGATCCGTTGGCATCTCATTCTCCTGGAGAACGAATGCCAAATCTCAGTCGTCTACTGATCTTATCTTTGGTGCATTTTGCTTGGCTGTTAGGACATGTAGGACTTTAACTTGTTTGCCAACTAATGGGTTTTCCATCAAACCACTAAAAGTTAAACTTTCAGCAGGGGAGCAGGAAGCAACCAAGTTATTTCATCCGTCGGGCGGCGAGCTTAATGCTCCAACCCCTTCCGCTCAAACGGCTTTTGGCCTTGGGCGCCCTGGCGACAATCCGCCTGGAAGTTTTGTCATCCTGGCCTACCAGCAAAGCTGGACTCGCCTTTCTTTACTCGAACCCACTCCCTGAGTTCATTAGTCACTCTTTGGGTTTGGACCATGTCAGTGGCAAGCTAAAAGTTTGGACTTTGTCAGTCAACTCAGGAAGTGAGTTATGCTAATACCTCCCAATTTATCGGTGGATCGAGGGAAAGTTGGAGGTTTGCAGAGCCGTTGAGTGAAATCGGTTCGCTCCCCGTTGGTGCGCAATGCCCAAGGCTTTCGCTTGGCTGCCAACATCTCTGGTCAGAGTCCAACCCATTGTTCAAGCATGTTTAAACTCGACAACTGCAAGAATGTCGCTTTTTCTTCAGATTCATTACATAGACTCGCCTGGTTCAACAGAACATGTTGACACGCACGCAATGGTGCAGAAATGTTAAAAGCAGCTTGTCCAAGGCGTTCGGTCGACTCCCAGAGAGCCACATCTGAATCCTGGCCTCGGATTCTGTTGAGACAAGCCCAAAAGGCCAGAATACAAAGACATGCACGCAGTGGTTCTAGGACATCCGAGGCGCATTGATTCGCTGCACGCTGCTTTTCGTAGTTCTGCGTGCCGACTACTTTGCTGAAACTCTGCCACTCCCGACTTCCTTTTCAGGGGTGCTCTGAGATACGCACTGCGTTAATACCTTTTTGTGTGCAGAGGCTCTTTGTCCCTGCCACGAGCCGGACCATGCGACAGTGCAGGCTTTCAGGTTCCATAGGTCGCATGAGTTTGCAACAGCGCAAGGCTGCTTGTGTCGTTTTCCGAGGGCCCTCGCAAACATGAGCTCTCATGAGCAAGCAAGGCCGGAACGCACATCTCAGATCCAGGGCGTGCATCAGAGGGGCCAGTAGCCTTTGGGACAGGGAATATAATGGGCATGTGAGGCATATCAGGGAAATGTATAAGTAAGTTATACTGTGGATGGACAAAAGAATCCTGCACCACCCAAGAAACCCTGCATTGATGATTCCCGCTGTAAATACCAACACACACAGTGGCTTCTCATGGTTTCAAAGGGGTGCAGGATTTTGTCCACCCGTAGTAGTTGAAGCACGCGCCTGCACGTAGATGTGTTGATTCGTGCTGGAAACGAGGCAGGCCATGGTGAGGAGAAAAAATGAAGTCCAAAGAGCGGCAGACGTATTTGCCAAAGGTGAGGGCGGGGGAAGCTGGTTGGCATGATCACAGGCTGGTCAAACTAACACCAGGATATGGACCACAGAATTCAGTCCATGTTTCCATTTTCAAGGGTTCCATTTTGGGTATCTTTTTTTTTTTAACCCACACCCAAATATGGCTAACGCTGATCCCGGATTGTTATATTTAGTTGTTTCTTCTTTCTTGCTTATTTCTCTCTTTGTCTATGAATTTATTTATTTCTCTCTTATTTTCCTTCCTTCCTTCTTTCTTTCTTTCATTTTTCCCGAATACGTAGTGAAGGGTTCCCGTTATTGAGTGGGGTCTGGGGGTAAGGTCGTGTTCGCTGGTCGCAATAGTTCAAAAGCGTCCGCAAGCGTCCGCATGTGGAAAAAATTGCCGTGCCATCAGCATTGCTGCAAAAAGTCACTTTTCGATGAGTCTTGAAGAGTTGAATTCGCTGCGGGCGGACGTGAATCGTGTCTTTTGCAGCGTTGCGAGTCATTTCGCAGCGCAGACGCAGTGTTTTGGAAGGCTGGGTGTTCTCGTTGCCGTGCCACTGGGATTTGCGTTCCAGGGGTGGTCGCTTTGAGGTGTCTTGCTCGGCAGGCGCGTGATAGTGTTTGCGCCGGCATCGTTTTCGTTGGCCCTGTCGTACAATTGGCTCGCTTTGGTGAGCTTGTGAAATGTGTTAAAATCCATCGAAACCTTTCTGGTCCCGTGCTAGTTTTGGTTGCGTGTCGTAAACGTGTCAAAGTTGGATTTCGTGGCAGTCGCAGCAGTTTGGAGGATTTTGAGTTCGTGGCAAAAGCTTACTTTGCGTGACAGGCACAGCACTTTCGAGCGTTTCGTTTGAAATTCGTGGCAGGCACAACACTTGGGATCTTTTTGTGCAAATTTCGCGCCAGGCACGTCACTTTGCGTAGGTCGGATCGCTCTCGCTGTGGCGCGGTCTGCGTTTTGAGAAGCACTCTGCGCACTTTGGGTGGGTCGCTCTCGCTGTGGCGCGGTGCGCATTTTGAGACAAGAGACGTGACGAGATACGCTTCTAGATGTCGCGCAGAAGTGTCAATCAGAAGTGTCGAAGTGTCGATCAGAAGTGGTGTTCAAAAGTGTTGCTCACAAGTGTCCGCCAGAAGTGCCCATCCAGTGTTGCTCAGAAGCGTCGGTAAGAAGCGTCGATTAAAAGTGTTGATCAGAATCAACCACCACTCCGTGGGTCCGTGAGTGAAGTGTCGATTACCACTACGTTGGAAATAACTTACGCTACATTTAAGTAGGTTATAACTTAGGTTAGAACATCTGGAACTTAGCAAGTTCGCTAACCTCGGCGAGTTCACCGTAAGTTCATGTCTATTTATCCATCTATATTTATCTATCGATCTACGGATCTATCTAAGTACCTTCCCTTGCCATGGCTCGGAATCAGCAAAAATTGCTTGGTTGAGGGAATCCTTTTCTTTCGGGGGGATAGACGTCAGAGTTTTTGTTTACGCTTGACTTGCTGTGTTGACTTGTTGTTCAGTGCTTGTATGGGTAATTGGCATTTCAATTGCTGGGAGTATGCTTTGTTGTTGATATTTGGCATCCTTTCAACCCCCATACCAGGGAAGACAACAAAACACAAAGGATGGTCTATTCGACCGCATATATAGCTTTGGGTTGGGACAATCCCGAATATACCCCGACCTTTCAGGGTGGGTTGGATGAACCTCTAGGATTTGAAGATTCGTTGAGTGTGCGTAGCTTCTTGGACTTGTTCGCGGTGCCTCGCTTGCCAGCAAATCACCCGGATCTGAGCATTTGTTTGTGCAAATGTTCTCAACGAGTCTGGTAGCGATAGCTTGCACATGTCTCCGGTCCCTTGCTTGATTCCATGGTTTGCGAGTGGTTGCAGATGTTCAGAGACTCCGCCCCGAGCATTTCCAGAAAGCCGCTCATGGGACGTCTGGACAGCATCGGTTCCATAGAACTGGTTGAATCTGGTTGGGTAAAAACGGGGATGGCAACAAGGGCCCTGATTTTGACAACTTCATCTCCCAATTGGAAGGGAGGCCAGCGATCCATATCCCCAAACTGGCAAATGTGTGAATGAAACGCCAAGGTTTCTTCCAGACCTTCGCCCAGAAAGGTGTTAGTAAGAATCAGGGTTTGGGGGGGTCCCGTGGGTTTCTGCCTAGCAAAACGGGTATGGTTTGGCTAGGTGTTTTTTCTTTGACCACAGGTCTACAAAGTAGAGGTAGCCTTTCCCCGTTCTGTTTGCATATTTTTTGGCAAGCTCACCTGGGGTCGTGCAAGATTACCATTAAGGTCCGACTGAACAGCTGATGCTGGAGAATCATGACGATTGGAAAGAATGGGAAATCAACCCCTATACAACGGAAATCGAGCAGATAGTCGGCTATGCAAAATGGCTGGGTGCTAAAGAGCAAGTGATACTGACGATGCGAGCAGAGAGTAGGAAGTACTTGAGCGCTCAGCCGACTAAGTGGGTGGTTGGCAACCTAGGTGATGCGTCGCCTACAAAGTCCCCTGAAAGCAGTCCACCTTGTAGCTGGCTTGTAGCCTAGACTCTTTTCAGTCGCATTCGGATGCGGCTACGCTGCTCAGTCTGGGGGGTCCTTCCCAGAGTCCTGTCAAACGAGCCCCAAAATGGAACCCCTTCTATGAAGCAAACCACTGATACATGCATATGTAAGTATATATATATATACTTAGACACACATCATGTTTTTGTTGCAACGGAATATATCTTCAATCGCATACACGGGGGCCCTTGATCATAGTCGAACTACGACGCTAGTTGTTCCTTGTGCGGCAAATCCAAGAATCATGCAAGAAGAGTACCAAACCTCTGATGTCCTTTTGTTAGAAGTAAGGACCTTTGCTGGAACCCTGATGATATTTGGGTATGGGTCAAAATTTAACCACCAGGGGACCGCAGGTTTGAGTCCTTCTTTCCATTTACCAGGGGTCCATGTTGGGTCGTTATTTTGACCCACGGTTTAAGGGGCGTGCCAGAAGACCACGCGCTTATGCCCACAGGCCTCACGTTGAGACTTTCAAGAGGTGAAGCCCAGTCAAGTGAGCCGCTTGTAGAAGGCTAGGGATAGTCCCAATGGATGCAGCGGCGTATTTTGTGTCTTTGCATGGCTCTGGGTAGACAATCTTAAGACCAGGTGTTCTCTTTGACTCAAGTGATTGTGTTTCGTAGTGTTTGCAGGTCCACGTCCTCCAGGAGAAGTGTAGAGGGGGAAAGCAAAAGGAAAGCGCCCGAAGGCTTCGGTATAAACAATGAATGTGTCAAGGGCTTAGTTCGGCAATTGTTCGGGTTCACCACTAGTTTGCATTTAGAATCACTTGCAGGATATGGTTGTTTAAGCATCGTGGGCGTGCGCGTT